TCAAATAGTTCAACCAAGGCACATGCCCGTAAAAAAAAAAAAAAAAAAAAGAATGAAAAAAAGATTTAAAGTACTGCATACCTATTGGGGTTACTCTCAATCCACACAACTGGAAAATTTTAAAAACTTGGAGATCATGAACCACTTTAAGAATCGGCTGCTATGAACTCTCATCTCAGGAAAAGGCATATTCACAAAGTTTTGCACTCAATCTTAGAGGGTCACAGTCATTCTCTGAAGTCATCCACGTCAATTTTTTTTTTTTTTTTTTTTTTGAGACAGTCTTGCTCTGTCGCCCAGTCTGGAGTGCAGTGGTAATTACGGCAACCTCTGCCTCCTGGGTTCAAGCTATTTTCCTGCCTCAGCCTCCCGAGTAACTGGGATTACAGGCGTGCACCACCATGCCCGGCTAATTTTTCTATTTTTAGTAGAGACTGGGTTTCGCCATGTTGACCAGGCGGATCTTGAACTCCTACCTCAAACAATCCACCCGACTTGGCCTCCCAAAGTGCTGGGATTACAGGCGTGAGCCACGGCGCCAGCCAAATGTCAAATTAGATTATAAAATATTTCCACTAAATGTGTAATTCTAGAATTAGACAATCATTTTCTGAAAAAAAAATGTTAATTATCCCTAAATATGACTCCTAAGAAGTGAGCATAGCCCCTCCCTCCATGGCTTCCCACCTCCAATTCAACACAGGAGGAATCCTGGGTTTTTAGAATTCAGGTCAACAGACAAGCGTCTTAACCTAGTCACATTTAGTAAGATAGACCTTTGGCCTCTCTTTAAGTGAAAGTTCCATGCAGCCTAGGCACCAATTTCCACCATTGTCTCGACTTAATTTCGTCTTGGGCTGCAAGGATTCATTCATTATTGCTCTTTGCATTACTGTTGTCTGGGATCACTTCAAGTATTTTCAAGGGTCTGATACCGTACCACTTAAACTCTCTGAGACCCAGTTTTCTCATTTACATGACAGTGATAGTAAGAGCTACCTCTCAGGGTTATTGTTTAAAGAACGGACGTTTATGGAACACTTAGTGTCTGCACACAGTAAGTGCTCAATAAGCGTTAGCTATCATTATTACGTCCTCACCCGGGCTGCCCCCTTGAGGTTGGATCCCTGTGGACCACAGGAGCTGGCACATAGTACCCACCGTCCGTGACTGGGGTAGGCCTGGGGCCGGAGGAGGACCCTGGTGCTCTAGGAGTACCGGGGGGCCTGGTCGACGGGAAAGGTCCGAAAGTCGCCAGGGCTGCCTCGGTGGAGTTGAGGCCCTCTGTCGTCACCGCCGGGGTGGCCTCGGTCTGGGCGCTCACGGAGGCCCAGCAGCTCAGGAGTACCACCAAGAGCGGCCGGAGGCCTAGCGGCCTCATCTTCCAGCGGGCCCCAGCTACGCCCGCGCCAGGGACCGCGCGTTGCCCGGCAACCGCTACACCCAGGCGCGAGGCATCACGGGAAGCGGCTTGCTAAGCCGCGAGAAGCTGCCGGAGACTGACGGGGGCGAAGCCTGGATGAGGCAGGGGGCGGATCCTGGATGAGGCCAGAGGGCGGAGCCTGGGTGAGGCAGCGATGGCAGGCACTAGGGCGAGCACTAGTGAGCGGCTGTGAAGCTGGCATAAACGAGAGGCGTGTAAATCCCAGCTGTGGTTCCCAACCGGTCTGCGGCGCTTACTTAAGAAATGTGGATTTTCTGTAGTTCCAGCTACTCGGGAGACTGAGGCAGGAGAATCGCTTGAACCCAGGAGGTGGAGGCTACAGTGAGCCGTGAGCGTGCCACTGCACTCCAGCCTGGGCGACAGTGCGAGACTCTGTCTCAACCAAAAAAAAAAAAAAAAAAAAAAAGACGGATTTCCAGGTACCACCTCAGGAGATCCTGAGTCAGTAAGTCTAGGACAGGACCCAGGAATCAGTTTTTGGGGGATTTTTTTGAGACAGGGTTTCACTCGACATGTCGCCCAGGCTGGAGTGCAGTGGTTCGATCTCGGCTCATTGCAGCCTCGACCTCTGGGGCTCAAGCAATCCTCCCACTTCAACCTCCTGAGTAGCTGGGAACTCAGGCGCGCGCCACCATACCCAGCTAATTTTTGTATTTTTTTGTAGAGACGAGGTCTCCCTCTGTCGCCCAGGTCTCCCTCCCAGGCGTCGCCCAGACTGGTCTCAAACTCCTGGGTTCAAGTGATCCACCTGCTTCAGCCTCTTGAGTCCTGAGTAGTTGGGATTACAGGCATGAGCCACCACTCCCAGCCAGGAATAAATATTTTTAACAAATGTCCCGACACAAGCAGATGAGTTGGACGGAAATTTGGGAAGCGCCGTCTCAACACCACTAATGTGGGTGTTTCAAAGGAGCATAGGGATCTGTGAGATCACTGTCCCTGAATTCTCTCTATCCCAGATTCTGTCAACACTGGCTTCACCTTTTTTGTTTTAGCTGCATCTCACAAGGTTGCCACATAACTTCTGTCTGCTGTATTGTGATAAAGGGGACAAATGAACACTTAATTACTTTTATTATCATTATTTTTTGTAGCGAGGGGGTCTCACTATGCTGATCAGGCTAGTCACAAACTCCTGACCTCAAGTGATCCTCCCACCTCAGCCTCCCAAAGAGCTGGGATTACAGGCATGAGCCACCACGCCAGGCCTAAGAACTTTTTTAAAGACAAAAATCTTTCACAAAAATTAAGTAAAATAATTTAGACATCTTAAAGGGGAAAACAAAGCAAATCCACTGTAATGCTACAAAATGACCTGGAGACCCTAAGATTTAGGAAAGCGTGTCCATTCTGAATGGGCTTATTTAGGAGGTACCCAAGCCCAGGGATGTTGGCTGCACCTTTGACACTTAATCTCTGTACAATTCAGAAGTAGATGTCAAAGTACTTAGACATGGCCAGGCGCAGTGGCTCACACCTGTACTCCTAGCCCTTTGGGAGGATCGCTTGAGTCCAGGAGTTGAGACCAGTCTGGGCAACATGGTGAAACCATATCTCTACAAAAAATACAAAAATTAGCCAGGTGTGGTGGCACGTGTCTGTAGTCCCAGCTACTCAGGAGGCTGAGGTGGAAGGATCACCTCAGCCCGGAGAGCTTGAGGCTACAGTGAGCCATGATCGGGCCACTGCACTCCAAAACAAAAAAACCTTAAACATAATGCAGTATTTATTCAAGAAATGTATATACCAATTCAAAAGAATGCCAAACAGCATATATATATCTAGTTTATTAAATGTATTTAGCAAAATTAAATCATCAGTGATATCTTTAGCACCTTCCTGTGGCATTCCAGAGACAGTGTATAAAAATATAATTGAATCACTCAAATGTGTAAGACAGATATTTCTCTTTTTTCTGCGAAGGATTGCTTTAGCATCTGACTGAAATTCTGGGCTGCTTTTAATAACTGATTAAATGCTTCCCCTTTTAAAAAAATAACCAAAAGTAGACTGGGCATGGTGGCTCACGCCTGTAATGCCAGCACTTTGGGAGGCTGAGGCGGGCGGATCATGAGGTCAAGAGATCGAGACCATCCTGGCCAACATGGTGAAACCCCATCTTTATTAAAAATACAAAAATTAGCCGAGCATGGTGATGGGCGCCTGTAGTCCCAGCTACTCAGGAGGCTGAGGTGGGAGAACTGCTTGAATCTGGGAGGTGGAGGTTGCAGTGAGTCAAGATCACACCACTGCACTCCAGCCTGGTGACAGAGCAAGACTCCGTCTCCAAAACAAAAAAAAAACACCAAAAGTATATTTTCCAAACCTTCATCTCATAACTTCTAAAACCAGGGCATATTTGTTTTCCTTTTAAACCTCTTTACTTCCAGCCCTCTACTTTCTTTCCTATTTCTTAATACCTGTGAACCATTTTGTTCTACTTTCTGTTTTGAAATTTTAGACTGCTGGATTAAATTTTGATAACTCGTCCTTTAGCTTTATAATTTTTTTTTTTTTTTTTTTTTGAGATGGAGTTTCGCTCTGTCACCCAGGCTAGAGTGCAGTAGCAGGATCTTGGCTCAGTGCAACCTTTGCCTCCCAGGTTCAAGTGATTCTCCTGCCTCGGCCTCCCAAGTAGCTGGGATTACAGGCACCCGCCACCAGCCCAGCTAATTTTTGGGGATTTCACCATATTGGCCAGGCTGTTCTTAAACTCCTGATCTCAAGTGATCGGTCCACCTTGGCCTCCCAAAGTGCTGGGATTACAGGCATGAGCCACCATTCCCATCCAGTTTTATAATTTTTGTTATGGTTATAGGACCCCTGAGATTCTCTTCAGGTCTGATATCCCATTTTTCCAACAAGGACCTGCTATGATATGATTTGCCAATTTCACTGCCTCTTTTGTCCAATCTCAAATAAACACTTGGTAGATGGCCCCAAAGTAATTTTATGACATTTGACTCTGAATGAGGATTGCACCTACCCAGATACATTTTGCAAACCTTAGGAACACTGGAACTTTTCATTTCACAGGTGACCCACTTCTGCCAGCCTGTTTTCATCTTTCAACCCAGAACACACTTTCTCCCTTCCTTTTGTCCCTGGCCTTAGCAGGTTCCCTCATTAGGATGGAAGGACACAAAAGTGGCTAAGATTGAGTTCCATATTGTGCCCAAAACCTCAACATTTGGTTTGTGCAAAAATGTTTGTGATTTCAAATATCCATCTGTTTCTCCAGGATTATTGGCATTCACAATTCCTTATAGTGTATGCTGACATTGGGAGGATCAAGACAATTCAGCTTTTTAGAATTCTGTGCTGAGAAGCTGCCATATATGAGGAGCCTGAAAGAAAAAAAAAAAAAATCAAAGATAGGAGGAGTATGTAGGTAGGGAAACAAAACTAAGGCTAACTTCACAAGGTAGTGTCAACCACTCTGTCTTGCTCTTTGGTGTGGTTTGAGGTGAATTGGTTATTGTTGTTGTTATTGCTGAAGTCATGGCTCCAACCTGCTTAAAATTAATAAATTAGCTGGGCATGATGGCACGTTCCTGTAAACCCAGTTACTCTGGAGGCCGAGGTGGGAGGATTGCATGATGCCGGGAGGTCCAGGGCCGCAGTGAGCCATGGTCACACTACTGCAGTCTGGCCTGGGCAACAGAGTGAGACCCTGTCTCAAAAAAAAAGCATAATTTTTTTTCTGGCGATTAGTATATCTATTTTTATTCATCTTACCCAAACATTTCACAAATGAGGTGGCAGAGTCATCAAGCTTCCTAAAGGGGTTGCTTTAGAGCTACAAAGGGATCAAGACTGTGTGAAGACAGAGGTTTGGCTGTACCATTTTGACTGAAGTAACTAGTCGGGTAATTGATTTCCAGATCAACACCCAGAAGAAAATAATCCTCAACTGCTCTCATTCTCTCAGTCCCCACACACCTCATCAACCACCGAGTACTATTCTTGCTCCTTTTTTTTTTTTTTTTTTTTTGAAATTGAGTCTTGCTCTGTCACTCAGGCTAGAGTGCAGTGGAGCAGTTTTGGCTCACTGCAACCTCTGCCTCCCAGGTTCAAGGGATTCTCCTGCCTCAGCCTCCCAAGTAGCTGGAACTACAGGCGCCTACCACCGTGCCCAACTAATTTTTGTATTTTTAGTAAGACGGGGTTTCACTATCTTGGCCAGATACTCGAACTCCTGACCTAGTGATCCACCCACCTCGGCCTCCCAAAGTGCTGGGATTATAGGCATGAGCCACTGCGCCCAGCCTATTCTTGTTCTTTAAGTGTTTTCTGAAATGTTATGGGCACAGAAGGACTATCTGAGCAGACTTCACATTCTTGAAAGGTCTCACATTTGCATTTGACCTTTTCTAAAACAAAGTCATACATACAGTCACAGACATTCACCAACAGGAATGAAATAAGAATTCCTTGTTTACCATACAGTTGTTTTTTTTTTTTCTTTTTGGGTTTCTTTTTTTTTTTTCGTTGAGACAAAGTCTCATTCTTTTGCCCAGGCTGGTGTGCAATGGCCCAATCTCAGCTCACTGCAACCTCCACCTTCTGGGTTCAAGTGATTCTCCTGCCTCAGCCTCCCAAGTAGCTGGGATTACACGTGCCCGCCACCTCGCGTGGCTAATTTTTGTATTTTTAGTAGAGACAGGGTTTCACCACGTTGACCAGGCTGGTCTCAAACTCCTGACCTCAAGTGATCCACCCACCTCAGCTTCCCAAAGTGCTGGGATTACAGGCACGAGTCACCATACCCAGCTTACCATACAGTTTTAACCTTGCATCCTATTATTGAACCAGACTGCAGTTTGAATAAACTCGGCTTTCTAAAAAATCATTTTTGTTTTTATTCTTTTCAGATTGAAATTTTCCAAACAGGGACCGAGCACGGTGGCTCACACCTGTAATCCCAGCACTTTGGGAGGCCAAGGTCAGGAGTTCGAGACCAGCCTGGCCAACGTGGTGAAACCCCGTCTCTACTAAAAAATACAAAAATTAGCCAGGAGTGGTGGCAGGCACCTTAATCCCAGCTACTTGGGATGCAGAGGCAGGAGAATTGTTTGAACCCGGGAGGCTGA